ACCCTATTCTAATTGTTAAGGCCTCTTTATTAAGATACCCATCACTTTACTTGTATATCGTCGCTCGATATTCTCCGGTCCCAAATCCCAAACAGCTGCTCGAAGGGAGTCGTTCTGGGTTGAGTAGGACCGTTCAAGAACACACCAGATGCAGGTAGACGTCACCCGACTAGGATATGTGGTTCCCGTGGTTCCTCTAGCTTCGAGTGACCCAAAAAGTTCAAGATTCCGCCGACTCTGAATCAACTTCGTAGTGACGTCGTCGTGCCCAGAACCCACCGACCCAATAGATCCCCACCCTAACACAACCAAAGAAACTCCCCAGAGAACGCAATACCCCTTGATTAAGGAATATACCTTAAATTATAGGGGCCTTGACATTATGATTTAAGGTATGTTCCTTAATTAAGGGGTATTGGGTTCTCTGGGTCCGTAATTCAGAGCTCAAGAACACTCCAAGCTTCTTGTCTTTCTAGGTAAAAAGAAGCCGCAACCCACGACATCCCTAAATCAAGCGTGTCGTTTAGGTTTAGGGCTTAGGGTTTAAGGTTTAGGGCCCACTCTAAACCCTGAACCCTAAACCCTAAACCCTGTTTGGGGCGATCTGTTTATGCTTGCATAGGTTCCACCTATATCTAAGCAGTGGAAGGCTGGAACCCAGAGTTATTCTGCACAACACTTAGGTTTAGGGTTTAGGGTTTAGGGTTTAGGGTTTAGAGTTTAGGGCATGGACAAGTAGATTCTACTCTACTCTACTCCTCTTGGAAAGTGGTCAGAAACAAGACGTTTCTGCCAGAATTCGGCATAAGGCGACCAAGCTAACCTACAAACTATCGCAATAACAGTCTTGACAAGCTGGTCCTGAAGCCTCACCCTAAGGCTCAAAATAGCCCAAAGCCTTGTATAGTAGGGTCTTTGGGCCCAAACGTCTTAAAATATGAGTCCTCAGAGACTTAGGGTCACATGATGTTCAAGGGCCTTCGAATACGGGATTTTGTTGACTCCAATCAACTTCTGCAAGATCTGGTGAACCCTAAACCCTAAACCCTAAACCCAGGGTTTAGGGTTTAAGGTTTAGGGTTGAAGACACCACGTCATCTCTCAGCATAAAGAGCAGCATCCCGAAGTAATACTACTTCAGATCCAGGGTTTAGGGTTTAGGGTTTAGGGTTTAGTACTTCAGATCCAAGCAGCTGCTTGTTAAGTTGTTTGGACCTTAGCAGGAAATTTGAACCACCAGTGTAGGGTGGTCAGGCCTTTTGAATCCTAGGTAACTATTGGGCACTTTGGACACTAAGGTTGACTGGTCACTCCCAAATTCTACCCAAACCTCCATTGAAACCCTCTACCCGAAGCAACTGGGGCCCCACACCGCAAGGACGTGGTGGCCGGTCGGGAGAACAAACTCCCACACCAACGACGGCTCCTGGTAGCTTGAAGACAATAGTTGCCTTTGTTTTTCAGGTGTGTGAGGCAGCGTTGAGGTTCCAAGCGTTACTTAGAGGTTAGAGTTTTAGGTTTACGGTTTTGCACTTAGACGTTAGGAGGGTGTCAGGGCTTTTTAAGGTGGTCCGACGGTCCCAGCACACCTTGAAAATGTATCGTTGTCCATCGATGCCTTGCGCTGGGAATTCAAGCTTGCCTTCAAGAGGCAGCGGGTCAATACTGGGACTGAGTTTAGAAATCCGAAATTTAGGAGATAAGCCCTTACTTAGCCTTAGCCCTAAACCCCTCAACCTGAAACCCCTGAACCCTGTAGCACGCTTCTGGAAGCCGTGCAGACCCCTCATAGCGCCTTGTGCCGCCAACGGCAGTTTGGGTTTAGGTCATTCTGCTGCCCTGGTTTTAGGTTTCGGGCTTAGAAAAACACCCCGCAGGAACACAGCATGTCACTAACTGCAGTTGGTTGGGTTCAGGGTTTAGGGTTTTTTTTAGGGTTTAGGGTTTAGGGTTTAGGGTTTAGGGTTTAGGGCTTAGGGGGAAAACACCCTGAGGAACACAGCATGCCACTGGGGGAATTTTCCAGAGCTCAACTCGTGTAGTCACGGTTCTTGAAGGCTCTTTTCTGAGCCTTGTTTCCTGGGCTTAGGGTCCAGGGTTTAGGGTTTAGGGTTTAGGGGCTTTTTATTCATAATGGTTCCTTTAAGGAACAGGTCCAAAAAAAGTATTACAGTATGGTACTCCAAAGCCCAGTTTCCTGCTGTCTCCAATAGGGGTTTAGGGTTTAGGG